AAAAAAAAAAAAAAAAAAAGTGCAGCTTTGGATGAGAACAAAAATAAATATTAAAAAAAAAAAAAAAAAAAAACAGTTGAGAGTTGGAGAAATTAATTTTTAAGAGTGGTTGGAATGATTTTTAATAAGCCCACCTATAAAATTGTGCTTATTTATTGCACCCACTTAGCCCTTTTCTTTTCCTATCCTTTAATATGTATATATATATATATATATATTAATGTCACATCTAAATTTTAATAAATTTTTTTCTATGGGCCCACAAAGACCCACCTCGAACGACATAGGGAATAACTTGTAAAGTCATGGTTATACAGAGATCCACCTCGAGCGGAAAATACAGGGAATGACAAGATAGTCGTAAGAAATTTCTCCAAATTTGCAAAGTCATGACCTCACAGAGACCTACCTCGAACGGAAAAGAGAGGAAATGACGAGAAAGAGCCGTGAGAGATTACTCTTTATCAACTAAAAGTTAGAAACGAAGATTAAATTCTCTACCCGTGTTCTTTGCCGCCCTCTAAAGTACGTTGAAATTTTTTCATTAGTTGAAAATTATGTTATAATATTAAATTTTAAAATTTTAGAAATTACATTAAACATTTAATTATATTTCTAATTATGTACGTCTTTTATTAAAAATTATATTAAAAAATTTGAAATAGATAAAAGAAAGTCATCGGGGGAAATCCGATCTCTTTAAATTATAGAGACGAAGAAAAGTTTTCAATTTCCGTCTGTCTTGTAAACATCTCTAAGAGTATTTATATTTATTTAATATTAATTTTTTTTAATTAAGTCAATAAATATTTAAATTTGTTTTTCTTTCGGAAATGTGTAGATAATTTTTGTTAATAAAAAAATAAAGAAAAAAAAAACTGAAATAAGTTTTATTTTATTTTTATTATTTTTTAAATATATTTATATATATAGAGAGAAAGGCATCCTTAAATATATATTGAAAAAAAACATGTATCGTGTATGACCTTGAATAAGTCAAACATGTTGACAACCAGAGTTAATTTTAATATTAAATATGATATGCTTTTTGACTTTTTATATTATAATATTTTCAACGGTATATTTTGTTCTTAGTTATCATTTTTTTTTTTAATATAAACAATATATATAAAAAATAATTTATTTTATTTAAAAAACGAGTTTCAATTATAAGCATATTTTTTATTTTTTTTATTTATTTTAAGGATATTTTTTAAATTTCTCAACCATTTAAAAAAATATTATTGAAATTTTTAAAAATTAATGGATATTTTTATTAATTTAACAGAAAAATAATTGTAAACCCTAAAATGAAACTAATTTAAATACCATCAACTTTTACGGCTTGAAATTAATGTTTTATTATTTATTTAAAAAACGAGTTTCAATTATAAGCATTTTTTTTTTTAATTTTAAGGATATTTTTTAAATTTCTCGAACATTTAAAAAAATATTATTGAAACTTTTAAAAATTAATGGATATTTTTATTAATTTAACAGAAAAATAATGGTAAACCCTAAAATGAAACTAATTTAAATACCATCAACTTTTACAGCTTGAAATTAATGTTTTATTATTTATTTAAAAAACGAGTTTCAATTATAAGCATTTTTTTTTAATTTTAAGGATATTTTTTAAATTTTTCGAACATTTTAAAAAATATTATTGAAACTTTTAAAAATTAATGGATATTTTTATTAATTTAACAGAAAAATAATTGTAAACCTAAAATGAAACTAATGTTTTATTATTTATTTAAAAAACGAGTTTCAATTATAAGCATATTTTTTATTTTTTTTTTTAATTTTAAGGATATTTTTTAAATTTCTAGACCATTTAAAAAATTATTATTGAAACTTTTAAAAATTAATGGATATTTTTATTAATAGAAAAATAATTGTAAACCCTAAAAGGAAACTAATTTAAATACCATCAACTTTTACCGCTTGAAATTAATGTTTTATTATTTATTTAAAAAACGAGTTTCAATTATAAGCATATTTTTTATTTTATTTTTTTAATTTTAAGGTTATTTTTAAATTTCTCAACCCTTTAAAAAAATATTATTTGAAACTTTTAAAAAATAATGGATATTTTTATTAATTTAACAGAAAAATAATTGTAAACCCTAAAATGAAACTAATTTAAATACCATCCACTTTTACAGCTTGAAATTAATGTTTTATAATTTATTTAAAAAACGAGTTTCAATTATAAGCATATTTTTTATTTTATTTTTTTAATTTTAAGGATATTTTTTAAATTTCTCGATCATTTAAAAAAATATTATTAAAATTTATGAATATTTTTATTAATTTAACAGAAAACCCTAAAATAAAACTAAATTAAATACCATCAACTTTTGCAGCTTGAAATTAATGTTTCATTTATATGACTTTTCTAAAAGTTTTATGTTTTCAACTTTGGAACATATTTCCAACATGTATAGGACTGACACCTTGCAATATTGTCTCACTATTATATTTCTTTTTAATTAATTTATATATTTTTTAATAAATGATATTATTTTTTAAAAGTAATGAATTATAAGAAATTATGATGGGTTCAATTAAAGCTTAGTTTTAAATTCTTAAAAGAAAAAGGAATGAGAGACAATAACTAATTAATATTTAAGTTATCATAAAAAAAGATAGATTTAAAATATTATATTAATATAATTTTGGTATCGGTACTTTTTAATAGACTAACTGTAATAAGGGTGTTCAAAAAACTCGATAACCTGAAAAACTTGATCAATCCAACCTAACCCGGTTTGAGTTAAGTTGTGAGCTTATTTGAGTTAGTTTATTGTTCGTTTTAAAATATAAATTGGAATTTTTAATTAAAGGTATGAAAAATGAATAAATAAATAAATATTTTGGGCTTAAATTGGATTATTTGGGCTAGGTTGTGAAAGGCCCAAAACACAAGGAACATCTTGCAGCCCAGTGTAGGCCCAATAATGAGATATATTGGATTGAATGGTTACATAAATTCTTATCTAATAGGAATAATTATTTTTTAGAATAAGGTTTTATTGTACAACACTTAAATTGTTTTTAATTGATTTTTTATTTTAAGAAATATACATCAAATGAAATATATCGAATCTGGGTCAAGTTTAGTACGGTATGTGCGTTAATGTTGTATAAGCACTTGTGAGATCCCACGTTAATCAGAGAGGGGAACGAAACATTATTTATAATAGTGTGAAAATTTCTCTCTAGTAGACTGGTTTTAAAGTACTGAGGTTGAAGACGAAATGTAATAGGCCAAAGTGGATAATATTTGTTAGCAGTGGGTTTGAGCTGTTACAAATAATATTAGAGTAAAAAAAAAGTGCCAGCGAGGACACTGACTCCTAAGGAGGTTGATTGTTGAGATCCTATATCGATTGAAGAAGGAAACAAAACATTTCTTATAAGGGTATTTCTATCCTTGACAAACATATTTTAAAAACTGTGAGGCTGATAGAGATACGTAACGAGCTAAAACGACGCTGGCCCCCAAGGAGGTAAATTGTTGAGATCCTACATCGGTTGGAGAAGGGAACGAAACATTTCTTATAAGGGTATTTCTATCCTTGACAAACATATTTTAAAAACTGTGAGGCTGATAGAGATACGTAACGAGCTAAAACGACGCTGGCCCCCAAGGAGGTAAATTGTTGAGATCCTATATCGGTTGGAGAAGGGAACGAAACATTTCTTATAAGGGTGTGGAAACCTATCCTTGACAGACATATTTTAAAAACTGTGAGGCTGATAGAGATATGTAACGAGCTAAAACGACGCTAGCCCCCAAGGAGGTAAATTGTTGAGATCCTATATCGGTTGGAGAAGGGAACGAAACATTTCTTATAAGGGTGTGGAAACCTATCCTTGACAAACATATTTTAAAACATGTGAGGCTGATAGAGATATGTAACGAGCTAAAACGACGCTGGCCCCCAAGGAGGTAAATTGTTGAGATCCTACATCGGTTGGAGAAGGGAACGAAACATTTCTTATAAGGGTGTGGAAACCTATCATTGACAAACATATTTTAAAACATGTGAGGCTGATAGAGATATGTAACGAGCTAAAACGACGCTGGCCCCCAAGGAGGTAAATTGTTGAGATCCTACATCGGTTGGAGAAGGGAACGAAACATTTCTTATAAGGGTGTGGAAACCTATCATTTACAGACATATTTTAAAACATGTGAGGCTGATAGAGATATGTAACGAGCTAAAACGACGCTGGCCCCCAAGGAGGTAAATTGTTGAGATCCTACATCGGTTGGAGAAGGGAACGAAACATTTCTTATAAGGGTGTGGAAACCTATCATTTACAGACATATTTTAAAACATGTGAGGCTGATAGAGATATGTAACGAGCTAAAACGACGCTGGCCCCCAAGGAGGTAAATTGTTGAGATCCTACATCGGTTGGAGAAGGGAACGAAACATTTCTTATAAGGGTGTGGAAACCTATCATTGACAAACATATTTTAAAACATGTGAGGCTGATAGAGATATGTAACGAGCTAAAACGACGCTGGCCCCCAAGGAGGTAAATTGTTGAGATCCTACATCGGTTGGAGAAGGGAACGAAACATTTCTTATAAGGGTGTGGAAACCTATCATTTACAGACATATTTTAAAACATGTGAGGCTGATAGAGATATGTAACGAGCTAAAACGACGCTGGCCCCCAAGGAGGTAAATTGTTGAGATCCTACATCGGTTGGAGAAGGGAACGAAACATTTCTTATAAGGGTGTGGAAACCTATCATTGACAGACATATTTTAAAACATGTGAGGCTGATAGAGATATGTAACGAGCTAAAACGACGCTGGCCCCCAAGGAGGTAAATTGTTGAGATCCTACATCGGTTGGAGAAGGGAACGAAACATTTCTTATAAGGGTGTGGAAACCTATCATTGACAAACATATTTTAAAACATGTGAGGCTGATAGAGATATGTAACGAGCTAAAACGACGCTGGCCCCCAAGGAGGTAAATTGTTGAGATCCTACATCGGTTGGAGAAGGGAACGAAACATTTCTTATAAGGGTGTGGAAACCTATCATTGACAAACATATTTTAAAACATGTGAGGCTGATAGCGATACGTAACGAGCTGAAACGATGCTGGCCCCCAAGGAGGTAAATTGTTGAGATCCTTTATCGGTTGGAGAAGGGTACGAAACATTTCTTATAAAGGTGTGGAAACTTATCCCTGATAGACATATTTTAAAACTGTGAGGCTGATAGCGATACGTAACGAGCTGAAACAGATAAACTGTCAGACGCGTTTTAAAATTGTGCAGCAACAATACGTAAGTAGCCAAAAGTGGTTTATATACTCACTTGTGCTATTTTCCCTTTCTTGTAAGTGAGAGCCGAGTACTCACGAGAATTTTAGTTGTTAATGGTACTTTTTTTAATTTATTTGAGATTTTTAATTTTTTTTAAGTTTAATATTGCTAATAATTTTTTTTGAAAGTAACTATAAAGTTGAGATATTTTTCTATAATTCTGTAAAAATAAAATGATAAAATTCCACCGTTGCCTGTGTGGCTATGCATGAAGAAAATCGAAATTGCACATATTTTAAACCTAAATTCAGTTTAAGGCTTCCGATTTGTGAAGGACGTGCAATGTGTAGAGTTGATTTGAGGCGATAATTCAAACGAAATTTCTGTTCGATTGCTATGATTTCATAGTTCTCGTAGTCGTCGTCTGCGTAAATCTAGTAACATATCAACGTTTGGCAGTTGAATTCGAGTCTTCCGATCGAAATCCTGTATCCTTTGCCGCCTCTAATCCGACCTATCCTCTGCCGGAATTTGCAATGAGAAAGACCGGAAGAGGAGGCCGGCGGGCTGATCAGAATCGAACTCAAGAGGTTTGGGTTGCCAAACACTCGAATCAAACTCAGAATCGCGCTTCTACCTCCGGCTCACAGCGCTTGGAGCCCGGTAATCGTCCTTCTACTGGTCGTAATTCCAACTACGAGCATGAGAATCGCCGCCGCCCCCGTCCCCGACCTGTCGAGAAAGCGGAGGTGAGTGCTTTAGCCGATGGAATAGAATCTTTCACTTGCGACGAAAAGCCTGTGGAAATGGAGAAGAGATGCGGAGATGTTGTGAATTCGAACTGTGAGATTAAAGACGGGACGGCCGGAAACTCTGGCTCAAGTGAGGCTACGGATGATGTTTACAGTAGGTTGGGGATGCTGCAACGCAGCTCCGAGGAGCCGGAGTTGTCGGAGGAGCAGCTTAGGATCAATGATCAGTTGCAGGAAGATGAGGTATGCGATTAACGTTATTTGCCTCTGATTTGCAAGCGTAATTGATTGTTTTTCAGCTGACGCTTGTTTATACACGTTAAATTTGCTACGAATTGATTTTGGCGATTCCATTTTTGTTCTTCACATTTATTCTTCGCGTTCAATCTTGAACTGTTTACTGTTTTATCGGTGAATCTTCGGCAGTTGCTGGCTTTGGAGTCCATATATGGAGAAAATATCCATATCCTCGATGAACATAGAGGGCAGCGCCGTTTCCAGGTTCATAATTATCCGATAAATTCATAATTGTTGCATCAAAACAATTTGGAAATTGATCCCCAAACTTTTCTATTATTCTGTAGATTTCCATACACATTGAGTGTCCTGGTGATATTACTGTTACTGCAAATCTCAACTCATCTGGTGCTCTTGAGATGAAAAGAACAAATTCAGACAATTTCTCTTGTTCTTTCAAAGTCAAGTATCTTAATCCCATTGTTTTGACCTGTTTATTACCGAAATCATATCCGAGTCACCTACCTCCATATTATACAATCTCTATTCAGTGGTTGGACGCTGCTAGAATTTCCCGTCTTTGCTCTGTATTGGATACGATATGGACAGAACAAGCAGGGCAGGAAGTTGTATATCAATGGGTAGAATGTCTACAAATGTCATCTCTGGTTTATCTTGAGCTAGATAAAGAGATTACGCTTGGTCCTTACAACAAGGGACATTCGGGAGATATTCGAGCAGTTTCGGGAAGTGTTTCTCCAGAAGTTGATGTTCCTGCCATTGTAAATTATGACAATCAGAGACGTGAGGAGGACTTCTGCATGAACTTGCAGGAATGCTGCATCTGTTTAAGTCAGTTGGCAGGTAAGCTCAATAATTGGCTCATGATAAGATGCTATTATTCAATTTACAGCCTATAACTCGTCCTAAGTTCTACTTTTGCTTGTATGCATTAGCGAGAATAGTTTTAATAACAATCACTTATAACATAGTAATTAAGTTCAAGCATCTAATTACAGATTGCTCTATAGCATAATAGGCAAGTTTTTGGGAACTGGTGTCGGTTAACTAGCTTTGCCCTTCCCCTCCCGACGCTAGAGAAGACAAATTATCTGTACACAATTTGACTGACTATCCTACTCTAAGAAGAGGTTCCTTTGTTAGTCAGAACAGCAATATCTGCCTCGTTATGTACAGAAAATTACTCGTCCTGTTTATTACGGATTCTTGTTCAACTCTGCATATAGGTGTCAATTTTCGTTACATAATCACTAATTATCTGCATTAACTAAACGGTTCTCTTTGTTCCGGGTTGAATCACCCTAAGCGATGTTTTGATATTGGAGATATAAATGGGGAAAAAGTTCTAATCAGATATCCTTGTGGAATAGAACCACTCGCTTCAAACTTCTAAGAAAACTATTATACTTCTTAAAACCTATTAAATGGAACAACGAACCACGAACTTAGCTGCTCCAAGTTGACAAAAATCTTTTGTAGTCGTGGTAGCCTGACCTTTAATACGTCTAGAGTGTCGTGTAATTGCTGAATTTTGGGAATCCCATGAATTTTGCTCTCTTTCAGTCTGTGTGTAGAAATTGAACTGTCGACTGGGAACTTTTAACTCCAGCTGCTTTGTTTGTTGGTTGTGCATAATCAGGTACAAAGTTTGTAAGATTTCCATGTAAGCATTACTTTTGTTGGAAATGCATGGAGACATACTCAAACATGCATGTCAAGGAAGGCACCGTTAGCAAACTCAAATGTCCAGATGCCAAATGCGATCTTATGCTTCCTCCTGGTCTTTTGAAGCAATTGCTTGGTGCTGAGGAGTTCGAAAGATGGGAATCCATGTTGCTCACGAAAACACTGGAGTCAATGTCCGATGTAGTCTATTGCCCAAGGTGTGAAACCCCCTGCCTCGAGGACATAGATCATGATGCTCAATGCTCGAAGTGTTACTTTAGTTTTTGTACACTCTGTAGCGAGAGACGTCATGTCGGAATTGAATGTATGACTCCAGAAATGAAGCTTCGTCTTCTTGAGGTTAGCTAAGTACCCAGTTCACCAATCCATGAGCATTTTTCCTTTTTGTGGGGATACTCATTAGCATTTATCGTTAGAACTTGACCTCTCACATTTTTTAACCTTGTTAACGTGTTATTCTTAATGGCGCAGGAGCGTCAAAGTTCATCTCAGTTAAGTAGTGATCAAAGACGAAAGGAACGCGAGATGATAAATGAGCTTATGAGTGTCAAGGAAATACTTCGCGATGCCAAGCAATGCCCATCTTGCAAAATGGCAATATCACGGACCGAAGGTTGCAATAAGATGGTTTGCAATAACTGTGGACAGTATTTCTGTTACCGCTGCAGCAAGGCAATTGATGGATATGACCATTTCAGGTTTGTTCATGCGAACGAGCATTAGTTTAGTACTGATGATTCGCATCAATTGTGCACTTCTCTTAGATAGATGAATCTAACACGCTAATCTTTCATGAAGGGAGGGCACATGTGAATTGTTCCCGCAAGAAACCATTCAACAGTGGGAAGAGCGCATGAATGCACGGCAGCTGTTGGGCCAGATTCATGCAGAACTTTTTCCTGAAAATGGTCATCCATGTCCTAATTGTGGTCAAATTAATGCCAAGGTGAGTAGTGAGTAGGACACATTTACTAATGGACATGGTGTTTCTTTAGGTAGTCTCTGTCAAGCAGCTGAACTATACAAAGAAACGAATACATTTGAAGGGGGAAACGGGTCATAATGTAAAAATTTTGGTAGTATTATCACTCAATGTAGTCAATCCAGGATTCCTTTTTAGTATAACATCTGTAACCGCCGCCTGGGCCCACCTCTAGTGGATATTGTCCTCTTTGAGCTTTTTTTTTCGGGCTTCCCCTCAAGGTTTTTAAAACGCATCTGCTAGGGAGAGGTTTCTACACCCTTATAAAAAATGTTTCGTTCCTCTCCAACCAATGTGGGATCTCACAATTCACCCCTCTTCAAGGCCCAGCATCCTCGCTTGCACTCATTCCCTTCTCCAATCGATGTGGGACTCCCCAATCCACCCCTTCAGGGTCCAACGTCTTTGCTGGCACACCGCCTCATGTCTACCCCCTTCAGAGCTCAACCTCCTCGTTGGCACATCCTCGTTGGCACATCACCCTTCAGAGCCCAAGCCTACCACTAGCCGATATTGTTCTCTTTAGGCTTTCCCTCAAGGTTTTTAAAATGCGTCTGCTTGGCAGAGGTTTTCACACCTTTATAAAGAATGTTTTGTTCCCTCTCTAAGCATCAGATATTTACCGTTTGAGATATTATTGAGAGTTGATATCTCTTTCATTAATTATGGTATTCAACGTAGATCCCTATTAGGATTCAGGGTTTTTTTCCTGATAGGCAAGACAAACCTATCATTCAGAGTGTTATTTTGGACAAACCTATCATTCAGAGTGTTATTTTGGAAAAAAAAAAATGGATTTCTCTGTCCGACACCATCATGCTTTTGTTCTTTATCCACCAATTGAGCATTTCCAGCTATCGTGCTCGCAATTGTTCGAACATCTTACAAATGGTACTCTTCAACCTAGTTTTCCTTTTCCTTTCCTCATAGTGATTGATTCAACACTAAAATTAGCTTTGGCGAACTTCACATCAAGTTTTGAATCAAGCAATTGGTCATTTCCTCTAGCATTACCGAAACCCGGGTCTCGATCTCTTTACTACATTCCTCTGTTTCTTATTGCTAATAATTTGCTTGATCTAGATCTTAACACCATCATGCTTTCGTTCTTTATCCTCCAATTGAGCGTTTCCAGCTATCGTGCTTGCAATTGTTCGAACATATTACAAATGGTACTCTTCAACCTAGTTTTCCTTTTCCTTTCCCCATAGCGATTGATTCAACTCTATAAATAGCTTTGGCATGCTTCAAATCAAGTTTTGAATCAAGCTATTGGTCTTTTCCTCTAGCATTACCGAAACCCGGGTCTCGATCTCTTTACTACATACCTCTTGTTTCTTATCGCTAATAATTTGCTTGATCTAGATCTTAACATGCTGATGAGTTAAAAAAAAAAAAAAAAAATACTGTGTTTGTGATTCTACTTTATTTTGTTTTCATTCTTTTAATGAATGAACAGGTTGGCAATAACAATCACATACGTTGCTGGGCGTGTCAAAACCACTACTGCTATCTATGCAAAAAAATTGTGAAGCGCAGCTCCCAGCATTATGGACCCAAGGGCTGCAAACAACACACAGCTGGTTAGTTTTACTGCTACACTTCCAAAAGCCAAGGCTTATTATTACCCATCAAAATTAAAGGGAAGAGCCATTTACAGTCTCGTAAAGCTTTTATCTTCTTCTCCCACTTTTTCTTACCCCTTTTTCCCCTCTTTCACTTCATTTTTCTGACTGATTTAGTTTAGTCGATCATAGGATAATGTTTTATTCAACACTTCTTTTTTTGTTGAAACAGATATCAGTAACTTTTATAAGGTTTACCCATGTAAATGTATTAGAATTACAGGCCTGTTCTAATAATACCCATGCTGTGGTTCATATTTTTAGTTAATTTTTGTGAAATCTGTCCTTCACCCGTCGATGTAACAGCCCAAGTTTACCACTAGTAGATGTTGTCCGCTTCGGCTCGTTACATATTGTTGTCAGTCTCACGGTTTTTAAATTTGTATGCAAAGTAGAGGTTTCCACACCCTTATAAATAATGTTTCCTTCCCCTCTCCAACCGATGTGGGATCTCACAATTTACCCCCTTTTGGGCCTAGCATCCTCGCCGGTACTCGTTCCCCTCCAATCCATGTGGAATCTCACAATTCACCCCCTTTGAGGCTTAGCATCCTCGCTGGCAGTTCCCCTCTCCAATCCATGTGGAATTTCACAATCTACCCCCTTTGAGGCTTAGCATCTTCGCTGGCTCTCGTTCCTCTCTCTAATCAATGTGAAATCTCACAATCCACCCCCTTTGAGGCTTAGCATCCTCGTTGGCACATCGCTAAAAGATATTGTCTACTTTGATCCGTTCCGTATCGTCGTCAGCTTCACGGTTTTAATATGTCTCTGATAGAGAGAGGTTTTCACATTCTTACAAAGAATATTTTGTTCCAACAAAATTGGGATCTCAAAAAGTGTTAGAATGTTTTGTTCCAACAAATTGGGGTCTCAAAATAAGTGTCATGAACAACACTCTTTAAAGATGGGAGGTTTGGATTCAAAATAAGTGTCATGAACAACACTCTTTAAAAATGGTAGGTTTGAACATCGACCAATGTTTAAGCTGTAATAGTAAGAGGAAAAATAGTTCTTCAGCAAAATGATATGACTCGTTTTCTTTTTGTCGGAATTAAAGTTAGTCAAGAATGACTTGTACGAAAAATAATTGGAAAAAAGAAATTTAAAATAAAAAAGCGATAAAACAAGGTGAAAAATGGTCATATTTTTTTGTCATTTCTTTTTGTTAATAATTCACACATTCCTTGTATTAATTTTATTTGGATGGTAATTAAAAATAATACAGAAAAGTTTCTCTTAAAAAAAGTTAAAAAATTATTAAAATTTTAATTTGTGCATCCATCAAATTAAAACTTAATATTAGTAAAATTATGAAGATTTTTTTAATTATTATTTATATTAAAAAATTATTGGTGTAAATTGAATAGAGGTAGAAAGTACGAAAAAATTAAATTATTTTTACAAATTAAAATTAAATTATTTTATTAAAATTAAAGAATTCATATGAATAGTTAGTTTTTTTTTTTTTTTTTTTTTTTTTTTTTTTTTTTTTTTTTTTTTTTTTTTTTT